AACCTTCTGTCACTAATCGTGGCCTGTCCAGCAAGGAGGCCATCTCCTGCAATCAGAGTTTTCTTGTATTAAATTAACTCTCTGTGCTACAAAACAACAACAACAACACGCCCTGCAAGTTCTGCAGCTAGCAGCTCAGCATATCAGAGGAGCCACACCCTCTAAGGTTGTCTTTTGGATTGGCGGGAGGGAAGTAGGAGGAGCTCTAGTGCGCATGCGCAGTATATCCCCGCGGCCATGACATATGGGAGGGAGAGGAGGGCACCATACCTCGTTCAAACTCACACTTGGTCTCCTCCTATCTCTCTTTGCTCACCCATCACTCCAGACGAGACTCTCTATAAAGACAGTGGCCCAGGCGGCTGTTAGCCGTCAGTAATGGCCAACTATCTAGGGTAAGGCACACTGATGAGATAGAACCATTATAATTGTTGATCGTCTCTCTCTCTTTCTCCTGTCTCTCCTTCACTTTAGGTCTGGTTTTGCAGGTGTCACAGGCCCCATTAGCACTGCTGTACCTAAACCACAAGTAAGGAAATAACAAGACTAAACTTAATACAATGGCCCTATCATTAACCCATATCATTACGGTTAATGTATATGATTATGGCTTATATTACTGTCCATTAGGATATCAAGTTGACCAATTTATTAGAGGCTTGTTTACAGAAGTATGGCGTTTTTGACACTCCAGAAGGCCAAAAACACAGGTAGTGGGTTCGGTCTTGCCTTCATTAACGACACGTTTTAATTAATAGGCTCCTCGTACTAGGAAAGTTAAATGAACTTGTTAAAAAATGGATCATTGATATTAGTAAAGAGAAGGTACGTAGGCGATTATTGATACATGGTGTACATAATGTGAATTTATCATTGTAATGATTATTATAGGGTAAGTCAGAAGCAGAAGCTAAAGAAGTTGGTGGTACCATCTTTACATTTGGTTCCTATAGACTAGGAGTTCATGGGAAAGGTCAGCCATTTTGAATGATCGGTGTCATGTGTACAGTATCATCATACACACAGGTGCTGATATTGATACCCTCCTCGTAGCGCCAAGACACATAGAAAGAACAGACTTTTTTAGCTCTTTTAAGGAACTTCTTTTTGAGGCAAAGAACGTAACCAATGTTAGGGTAAGCACTGTCATGGTTATAAGAGAAGGGACAATTTAATTTAATAAACTCTCTCTTTGTCAGGCTGTGCCAGATGCGTTTGTCCCTGTTATAAAGCTAGAGTTTGATGGAGTAGAGGTACTAACATATCTTCTTGCTTCCTTTGCATGATTTGTGCTATAGATGGATCTGTTGTTTGCTCGTTTGGCACTGCCCGTCATACCTGATGGACTGGGTCTCCTCGACATGAGTCTTTTGAAGAACCTTGACGCTAAATGCGTCAGGAGTCTCAATGGCTGCCGAGTGACAGACTCAATACTCAAGCTAGTACCCAATCAAGAAACCTTTCGACTTGCTTTGAGAGCAATTAAACTATGGGCTAAACGTAATATAAAATAATTTCGATAACTATATTATATCTTTGTGTGGCTATAGGTAGGGGTATATATTCTAATGCTCTTGGATATTTAGGAGGAGTGTCTTGGGCTATGCTGGTTGCTAGAACATGTCAACTTTATCCCAATGCAGCTTCCAGCACCATTGTACTCAAGTTCTTCTTTGTTTTTGAGAAATGGTAATAAGCGGAGAAAAAAGTTAAAATAGTTTTTTTTATTATTTATTTTTTCATAGGAACTGGCCACAGCCTGTATTATTAAGAAAGGCTGAAGAAGACGTCTTAGGACTGAACCTCCAAGTTTGGAATCCCCAGGTATATTTGACATGATAAGGTGTACATATATACAGTACATGCTCCTTTTTCTCCTCAGGTTAATCCAGGAGATGCCCACCATCTGATGCCAATCATCACTCCGGCCTATCCTCAACAGAACTCTACCTTTAATGTAACAAAGTCGACACGTGACGTCATGTTGAATGAATTTAGAAGAGGTACAATGTACATGTAGTTCTTATATACACATGTACATGTATACAATCACTTCTATACATTATTGAAACTTTGTGAAATTTAGCAAAATTCCTTTTAACCTGTTGTTACTTGTAAGGGTGCCTAATAGTACAGAGTAATAAACACTTTATTTGCTAATTAGTTTTTTTGAGTACATACCGTATGGAAGGAAATTTTGGAGGTAGTTAAATTTGGCGAATTTGGCGTTTTGATAGCCATTCGCCAAAATAAACATTCGCCATTTTGAGCCATTATACGCATGCTCAATGGCACGTGGCCACAAATTCGCCAAATTAAAATTCGCCAATCACCAAAATTTAGCAATTCGCCAAAATTTAGTCCCTCCAAAATTTCCTTCTGTACGGTACTATACAGTGTCTGTGTGTATTGTTAGGATTGGATATATGCAGAGATATAGACGTTGGGAAATTGTCATGGGACATTCTCTTTGAACCAATCAAGTTCTTCTCATTATACAAGTATGTGCTGCACATTATCCCTAATGTGTACATCTCTCTCTCTTTCTCTCTCTCTCTCTCTCTCTCTCTCTCTCTCTCTCTCTCTCCTTCTTTCTAGGCATTATATTGTCATCTGTGCAACTGCTATCGATTCCGATCTTCTCCTTAAATGGTATGTCATGTGACTGATGCATGTCATGCATGTGATTTCACAGGTCTGGTCTGGTTGAGTCCAAGATACGTATCCTAATTGGTAAGCTGGAGGATAACGAGAACATCAAGATAGCTCATGTTAATCCAACATCGTACCCTCGTATTGTCCCTGACAGGTATGGAACATCTTTTATATTCTTCTTTACCATCTCTTTATTTTCTGATACTTTCTATCCCTCTCTAATGTTAAGTACTGATTCTCATTTGATGTGGTTCATTGGTCTCGAGTTCTGTGTTGGTCCAGGTGGCGTGAACATAACTCTAACATACGAGATACAAATGTTCATCAATTCAGGTACTTGGTAATGGAATTTTCACAATAGCAGGAAGAAGGGTCAGGGGTCACATTAAGAATTGTTTATTAAGCAGATGGATGCAGTCACAATAATATGTAGATGTACAATGTACATGTAATGGTATTATTTATATCTTGTTTATCTTGTGTGTTTCTTTTTGTTGCTCTAGTTGTTAAAAGTCCAGCTTTACAGAGTAGTCCTGATTTACGTAATGGCACACAGCTTGATGTAAAGCATGCAAGAAGGTGAGCTACTCTCTCTCTCTCTCTCTCTCTTTCTAAACTTTATTAATGATATTGCGTATTATGTAGAAGAGACTTGTCTGATTATTTATCTCCTGACATTGTTCCTCCTCTTCCGAAAAAGAAGAAACAGTTTCCAATAGTCAGTTAAATCTTTTAAATTACGAATCCAGAGAATTGGAATTTAAATGTGCGTATTTTAAAATTTATAGGACATTGAGACTCCCTCTCCCATTTTAAAGAGAGTCCATAAGATAGAGAGAGTTGAAGAGCCTCGTGTATCAAAGCGTATCAAGATAATGGATGATCCTGATAGTTTGACTGATTCTTCTATAGGAGGGGGAGAGGCCACTGCGAAGACCACCAACGTTGACGAAGTATTGTAACTGCATGTTTTGTTTCAAAGTTTATTTGTAATGTTTTATGTTGTATCTGTGCATTGATATCTCTTTCTTGTTAAAGGATGAAAGCAGTCTAATGTCAACTGGAAAGATTGGTTCTCTTAATTTCGATTCAGCTGATGTATCTATCACAGACATTGATCCAATGGTCAGTGTTAAAATGACCCTTAGCATCACTTCAGTCAACTCAAAGTTTATATCTAACATAAGAGCATGTACATATATATCATTAAAAATCATTAAAATAGAGAATTCTCTTCTAATCATTTTGGCAAAATTTGGCTAAACACCCTGTACTATAGTGCAGGGGCTTGGGCCCAATTTTTGAGTAACTTTAAAAATTGTAAAAAAAAATCAATTTTGTTTGGAATCAGCTCAAACTTGCTACACAACATAAGAACATGTATATGTATCAGAAAACATTACAAAAATGGAGAATTTTCTCCTAGTCATTTTTGGCGAAATTTGGCTAAACACCCTGTACTATAGTACAGGGACTTTGGCAGGATTTTTGAGCAACTTTAAAAATTCATAAAAAATCCAATTTTGATTGGAATTAGCTCAAACTTGCTACACAACATCAGAACATGTATATGCATCAGAAAACATTATAAAAATGGAGAATTTTCTCTTAGTCATTTTTGCCAAAATTGGCCAACACCTTGTACTATAGTACAGGGACTTAAGCCCAATTTTTGAGTACCTGCTGTAAAACAGGCATTTTTAATTTCTAAAAATTTAGTTATGATTTTAAAGATTTTTTATGTCGGTTTTATATGAACATGTATGAAGCAGATTATTTTATTAAATGGTATATTTTTAGGAGAACAGCATCAATGATTCATCATTAATGATGTCAGACTCTTCAATGATGGAACACCAGGTCTGCTACACACACACACTCACACACACGTCTCTAATTATAACCTAAATAAAAACCACATACTGTTTACTTGAAATCTTTTATTTTTACAGAATGAAGAATCAAGAAATATTTCGTCACTGAGTACGAGTGATTCCACTCTTACTACTACTACTACTAACAATGTCTCTACCTCTTCTTCATCAGCCAATGCCTCCTCCTCATCATCAGCACAACACAATCATTCAAACACTCCATTAGGACCACTACAAGCAATACAGCAGCAGCAGCAGCAGTCGTCCGCACAGACAGCACACATTAAAAAGAACATTGTCCTCAAATTAAGCACACATAAGTAATATCATGCAACAGAGCGCAGCAGCCATTATGACTTGGGTTGCTGGGCCCGTATGAGCGCATACACTCTTCTTATTTATGACTAATTTTACGTCTTCCTGCCCGTCCCCTCCTCCCTCTCTCTCTCTTCTTGCTCTCCTTCCTTCTTTCTAAGAGTTCTATAATACTGTCCTCTCCATCCTGATTTTTGTTCATTTATCCTGTTTTATAATAATTTATTTAAAGAAGAAGGAGTGGCTCTAATTTTAACACTTCTTTCCAGTAATGAATAAGGTACAGGTTACAGAATGCTCAAAGGAGAATTTTCTTTCGTGTTTCTACGCATCTCGCGAGCCCTACGTCCTCAAAGGACTGGATATTGGTCCTGCTCCTGATTTATGGACGGGAGAATATCTTATGGATAAACTGGGTCAGGATGACAAAGAGCCCGTCAGGGTCCACGTGTGTCCTCATAGACACATGGACTTCATTAACAAGAATTTCCTGTACAGGTATCCACTACTTGCTAGGTACATGTACATCAATTTCTATTTATAGAACACTTCCATTTAAGGATTTTATCAAACGAGCTCAGCTCAATCGGCAGACGGAATTTTTCATCAGTTCGGTTAGTTGTTCACACCTTTAGTTTCCATGGTTACGAGACCCCTGTACGTACATACATGCAGGACGAGAGGTACTACCTTCGTGCTTTGGGTGGCGACCCGAGAAAAGTTCGTATCGGCAAGATCATGAGTCATTATAATGCTATTGATAATAGGAACCTGCTGATTTTATCCGTCAATATCCTGAACTGGCAGGTGATCTTAAACTTCCTATGTTCTTTGGACCGGAGAAGGTTTTCTCTAGCGTTCTGAGAATCAGCTCACCTGATGCTCAGTTATGGACTCACTATGATGTAAGAGAAACCACTTATAGATCTAGTAGTTATTAAAAGTAATAGAAATATTAATGATTGCATTTTATAGGTAATGGACAATTTTCTTGTTCAAATAAAAGGAAAGAAGAGAGTTGTGCTCTTTCATCCAAGAGATGCTCTTAACCTTTACCTTGTTGGTGATAAGTCTTCTGTACTGGACATTGATGCTCCTGATTTGACCAAGTATCCATTATTTGATAAAGCTGAACGTTATGAGTGCTACCTGTATCCTGGTGACGTACTCTTTATACCTTCTCTCTGGTTTCATAATGTTTTAATGTATGACTTTAGTGTCGCCGTGAATGTGTTTTGGAAGCATTTGGAGGCTCAGTTCTACGATGCTAAAGATCCTTATGGCAACAAGGACCCTCCTCAGGTGCAGAGAGCCTTGCAGACGCTAGACAGAGCCATGAAGCATCTTGAAGAACTACCAAACGATTTCTATAAAGACTTTTATGCCAAATGTATGATAAATAGACTTCAAAGCAAATTTATTTTGCAGCAATAAAATTAATTAAATTTTTGTGGGTGTGGCTGAGTGTTTCTATAGTAACATTTCAAAAACAAGATGGCTGATGATTCTGGGACACCATTTTTGAGTTATTTCTCCGTCTGTGCTCGAGCAAGAGCTAGTAAAGAACGAAATGAGAGGATGAAACAAAAGGCTGACCTTTTAGACTCTATTTTCAAACCAATAAACACGGAGAAACTTGACATGTTAAAGGTAGAGCTACTGATCTGATTATGATGTTCAATTATTTTATATATTTTATAGAAAAATTGCATGGCTACAGTGACAAACAAGAAAGGAAAGTCCATTCGACACTCAAAAGCTATTAGATTATCTATTTCTTCATCAGAAGAAGAAGATGATGACACTCATCATTCAACTTCACTGAGTCTGTCTGATGACAGCTATCAGTCATCAATGGAAGACCAAAATGAAGAAAAGTCAACAAGAGAAGAAGCTGCTTCTCTACTTCCACCCAATAGTACATTTTATCCATCCTTGCACCAACACCGTATGTCCTTTCCATCTATTCCCCTTCTCACTTTGCCACAAGCAGCAGCATCGATGCCTTCACCATCACTACCTCTTACAATGTCACCAGATATCAGTCTAGAATCATTCACTACATCATCATCATCTACTCCAATACTTACATCAATTATGGCACCAATTTACACAGCTGCAGCACCGGTATCAACAAACGTAACATCATCTGCTGCTCCACTAGTTTCAACCGTTACACCAATATCTACTGTTGTACCTCCAGTCTCTACTCTCTTTAATGCAGCATCCTCCATCACTCTGGTATCAACACCCATTAGTATGATGTCCATTCAAACATCTACAGAAGATATTACAGCACCTATACCATTAGTATCTACTGCTGCAGCAGCAGCGTCTACGCCATTTATTTCTGTTGCTCCTCCTATGGCATCCAATGTATCAGTGTCAATGGCTTCCAATGTTCACAGAGCCTCACCTTCTCAGTCCTCTTCCTTGTCCTCTTTATTGGATCAACCAGTAATTATTGATGTAAAACAGCAGCCACAAGAGCTCATTGTATCATTGTCACCATCATCAGTATCAAGCATTGAGGGACATCATAGTGTGGAGCAGTTCACATATGACAACAAAGATGCATCTAATGAAAATAATGAGCTTCTTGATGCATCTAATGCACAGAAAGGCAGCAAAGAAAAAGAGGAAGATGGTGATAAAAGTAGCTTGTCTAGTGAGTCTGATTTCTGGGAGACTCCTTCAACTGCCCCAGTAATGGACAGGCTTCATACTCATCCTGACACAGTTGATGATAAAACTGCATCACCTAATGCTGGTATTACAGCAACTGATAATATCAATCCTACTACTCCTGATGATACCAAACAGCATAAATCCAGCCTTCAGTCACACTCAGGCTCTACTTCATCTGTTGATTATAATCCAAAGAATGCTACCATGGCTGCCTTCTCATTGCTCCACACTCTTAATGCACAACTTAGACGAGATCACAAACTATCAAAGGCCCTATACCAAACTTCAACAGCTAACAATATACAATCGTCAATACAACACTCATCCGTTCTCAACTCACTTTTAACAAAGTAGGCATTATTATTTTATCTGCACATCAAATTACACTGTATGTGTGATACTATTTTTAGGAGAGCAGAGTTAGGTAAGGATATGACAACTTGGGACTCGGGCACACTTTTGTCAGTTCTGATCACTTCACTTCATGAAGTAATAGCTCAACATGGCCCACCAGTATTGAAAACTGATGATAAAATGTAATAATTAAAGCGTAATATGTTTTTGTTAATGATAATAATATTTCTATAGGGTGCAGAGAGCAAGGTCAGATGATGATGATGAGGGATGGTCCACTCTGTTGCCACTGCTCTTGGAACATGTCAGACTCCTCTTCCAATGTGGTACACTACTTGAAAAGATTGCTCAAGTTTTTTCTCCAGTTTTACAAATAGAGGAAAATAAAGTATGAAGGATAGCAATAATTTTAATTAATTGTTTTGTAAATCTACATGTAGCTTTTGACATTCTTTGAACGAGAATGTGGTGCAGAAGAAATATTTTCTCTCACTCCATCTTCTATATCATCATTATCTCAAGAAAGTATGTGCATGTGCATAAAATCTCCATAGATTTTGTATTATATATAATTGATGTATATACATGTACATGTAGATGAAGCTGAAGTGAACAAAAAGCAAAGTGCATATCATTCATTATTGCAATCTTCAGTCCATTCTGATGTCAGTGATTCACTAAGTGAAGGTATGACTCAAAAAGAAGTGTCATTAATTAATTTTTATTAAAAATGAATTATGAAACAGGAAGTGGGCTAGTGCTAATTAATTTTTAAAATAAATTATGAAACAGGAAGTGGGCTGAAGTTAATTAAAAATGAATTATGAAACAGGAAATGAGTTGCTGCTAATTAATTTTTATTAAAAATGAATTATGAAACAGGAAGTGGGCTAGTGCTAATTAATTTTTTAAATAAATTATGAAACAGGAAATGGGCTGAAGTTAATTAAAAATGAATTATGAAACAGAAAATGAATTGTTGCTAATTAATTTTTTATAAAAAATGAATTATGAAACAGGAAATGAATTGCTGCTAATTAATTTTTATTAAAAATGAATTATGAAACAGGAAATGAGTTGCTGCTAATTAATTTTTATTAAAAATGAATTATGAAACAGGAAATGAATTGCTGCTAATTAATTTTTATTAAAAATGAATTATGAAACAGGAAATGAATTGCTGCTAATTAATCTTTATTAAAAATGAATTATGAAACAGGAAATGAGTTGCTGCTAATTAATTTTTATTAAAAATGAATTATGAAACAGGAAATGAATTGTTGCTAATTAATTTTTTATAAAAAATGAATTATGAAACAGGAAATGAATTGCTGCTAATTAATTTTTATTAAAAATGAATTATGAAACAGGAAATGAATTGCTGCTAATTAATTTTTATTAAAAATGAATTATGAAACAGGAAATGAATTGTTGCTAATTAATTTTTTATAAAAAATGAATTATGAAACAGGAAATGAATAGCTGCTAATTAATTTTTATTAAAAATGAATTATGAAACAGGAAATGAATTGTTGCTAATTAATTTTTTATTAAAAATGAATTATGAAACAGGAAATGAATTGCTGCTGATTAATTTTTATTAAAAATGAATTATGAAACAGGAAATGAGTTGCTGCTAATTAATTTTTATTAAAAATGAATTATGAAACAGGAAATGAATTGCTGCTAATTAATTTTTATTAAAAATGAATTATGAAACAGGAAATGAATAGCTGCTAATTAATTTTTATTAAAAATGAATTATGAAACAGGAAATGAATAGCTGCTAATTAATTTTTATTAAAAATGAATTATGAAACAGGAAATGAATTGTTGCTAATTAATTTTTTATAAAAAATGAATTATGAAACAGGAAATGAATTGCTGCTAATTAATTTTTATTAAAAATGAATTATGAAACAGGAAATGAGTTGCTGCTAATTAATTTTTATTAAAAATGAATTATGAAATAGAAATGATTTGTTCCTAATTAACTTTTATTAAAATTTTCTGTTATCCAGATTCTGCCGTACTGGCTCTTCAGTTAAAAAGAGATACTAATACAAAACCTTTTGGTGGCATTAATGTAATGACAGGATTTGGAGGAGAAGTAGGCGATAAAAAAGATGAATTTGATGGTTCCCTTCCTTTACCATCATCTCCTCCTTGTGCTCCTCAACCTCGTTATACAGAACCGCACACTTCATCAAACCAGGAAAAGTTAGTATTCATCATAAAGTATGATTAATGATGCATTCATTCTTTAGTACAAGTGGAACTACTGAAAAGCTGAACCAGTCAACACTACAGAAGAGAATGGGTACAATGAACAAATTGTGTTACTCGTACATTAGCACAGGGTTTTGGTATAGAGCTCGTGCAACTGCTTGTCAGTGGATTGTCAAGCTGCTAGGAGAGAATTCTACATTTTAATAATTTTTTCTGATACATATACATGTTCTTATGTTGTTTTTCAAGTTTGAGCTGATTCTGATCAAAATTGAATTTTTAATGAATTTTTAAAGTTGCCATGTACTATATTGTAGTGCTTGTCAGCTTATAAAGCATGCCATTGCTCATTTTATTTTAATGATGTACATAATATTCTTTTATATTAGGACAACACGAAGTTGATGAAATCATTAGCTCTCCATTGAGTGGACCCTCAGTTGATGATAATGATGATGATGACTTTGATTTTTATAATTAGATAAAATCAAAACCAACATTAAAATAATTAACAATAATTAATAATTGTTTAATAATTGTTGTATAATTATAGGTTGTTATAATTGTTATTAAAAATGAATTAACTTCCTAGTTCTCTCGTAAAGTGTTGTATAATAATGATTTTATTACACCTATAAGCTCAAAAAAATTATTTGTATTAAAATTGTAGCAAAATTATAACATTAACAACTGCAAAACAACATTCAAAAAATAGCAAAAAGAAATGCAAAAATAGTTTTAGTAACGTTGAAGTAGAAGAGCTCTCTCCTCTTCCAAAGACATATTCTTCATTGCTTTATACTCAAACCTACGAACAGCAACAATGGCTCTTGTCAGCCTTGGTCCAAAAGCATCGGCGAGGACCTTGTCTTCTTCCAAAGCTTTGGCTGTCAGATCAACAGTACGAGGAAGAGGAATGATGTTATTCTTTTTAAGTTCTTCCTCGGATAAAACACCAGGATCATCTTGGTAAGGAGGTGGAATGGGTAGATTCCGTTTGATTCCATCCATTCCAGCAGCGATAGCAGCACCGAGAACAAAGTAAGGATTACCACAAGCATCCGATGTCTTTAATTCAAAATGAGTTGGGTTTGGTTGACAGGCATTTGATGGTACACGTATGGCTGCCTCCCGATTACCATATCCCCATATTTTAAAAGCTCCACTCCAGAAACAAGGAGCAATACGACGCAGTGAATTGGTAGTTGGAACAGAGACGGCCATCAGACCACTCAAGTGCTCAAGCATGCCAGCTATAAAGTGACCAGTCACTTCCGATATTTCATCTTCTTTGGTCTCTGACGGTACAATGTTCTTACCATCTTTAGTGTGAAGGCTGAGATGAATGTGAGTTCCACTCCCGGCTTGATCTTGGAAGACTTTGGGTAGGAAAGTGGCAATCATATTGTGCTTGAGAGCAACTGCTTTCACCGTTTCCCTAACAATGACCTGCTGGTCTGCTGCCGTCAGAACATCGGAATATCTTATTGATAACTCTTGCTGACCGTTAGCAGCTTCTGGATGATAGAGCTCAATATCTATTCCTTGCTTAACAAGAGCATCAAGTATATCTGTCATGACGTCACAGTTGATATCCATTGACAGTGTACTAGCATACACAGTGTCATCCACTGGTTTGACGCTACCGTCTGTTGTACGTTGGAGCAATATAAACTCGTTTTCAAAACCAGCTTTAATGTATATTCCTTCCTTAGCAGCTTCGTCTGTCATCCTCTTAAGAAAGAGACGAGGGCATAGACCTGACGGGTCTCCGTTTTCTTCATACATGTTTATCATGACTCGTGCGTGACCTTTAGAATATGGTATACTTGTTAGTGTAGTCCAGTCCGGCTTCATACGAACTTCACCAACAGCAGTTACACCAGAGTCTGGTGCAGTAGCATCATACATTACTGGCAATGCCTACATAATGGTAAATGGATGAGGGATGGGCTTGTTATACTGTACTCACTTCAACAGCAGTACATAGTGGAATACCGGTGTCAGCTATTTTCTGCAAATCTTTACAGTTTGGGATGAAAACTGCTTTTGCACGAGTTACATTAGCAGTACAGACCCACGTGAAGCGGAGTAATTTTGTGCTGGGGTCTAAACTTGGGACAGACATTAGGGAAGAAGCTCAGGAAGTCCTTGAAGAAGTTGACGGGTGTGAACGAATATACAAGGAAGAGTGGGAGTGACTATTTTAAGTATTTTTATAAACTGGGGTGGAACATGGCTGCAGCTACCACCTCAGTGAGAGGTGCAAAGGAATCTCTAAGGCAATCACTTCGCAAGACCTTAAAGCAAATGAAAGTCCAACAAAGGAAAGAAGAATCATTGATATTGACAAAAAAGGTAATTATAACGAAAATACACCTTAAAATAAGAAAAAGTATAGTTATTGTCACACAAAGCGTACCAGGAAGCTAGCAGAATATCAGTATACCTCAGTATGCCTGAAGAAGTTGATACTATAGCTTAATAATTGAGGTATGATTATGTCTTTATACTATAATGCTACACATTTTCCACGAATGTAGGACATCTTCAAACAGAAGAAGTATGCCGTAATTACAACATAGATCAAGATAGATGCGTTATTTTACCTATTGATATCTAAATGTTTAGGTTGTGTTTTGTTCCACAAATCGATGATGGTGTTCAAATGAACATGTTGCAAGTTCATTCGCTTGAGGATATTAAGTCCCTTCCAAATTATATTTGGGGGGTAAAATCAATAAAACAACCAGCCTGTAAGTGAGATACAATGACATGTACTTAGAGGGAGCATGGGGAGTGATTGATAATTTTTCTTTAGTCGATGACAAGAGAGAAGATGCACTGGAAACTGGTGGTCTTGATCTAGTGATTGTTCCTGGACTGGGATTTACTGAAGTCAGTCAGTTAATATTGTAAAAAAGACTTATGATTATAATTCTCACAGGATGGTAAAAGGCTAGGCCAGGGAAAGGTAAGGAAGGTTTTTGTAATTTTTAAAGTATTATACACATAGGGCTATTATGATAGATTTCTGCCTAGATGCTCTGAGAAAGTAACCACTACCATTGGTATGCTTAAAAACATGCCTTATGTAATCAATACAATTTATTGTAGCTCTTGCATTCAACGTTCAAAGATGTAGCAAAATACCAACTGAACCAAGTGATGTATTAATCCATCATGTAATATTCTCCACATGAGGACTTATTCATATTTTTACAAATTAATATTACTTCATTATGATATTGTTCACAAATTTATATATTATACACAACAATGATGAAACTAAAGGTGAGGATCTACTACTGCAACTTTTTTGCCAGTACCTTTGATGTGGTTGTGCAACATGTTGCAAGAAGTTGAGAGTCTCTTTACTTCATGTAATATGTTGCACTGCCACATCAAAGGTATAACCACAAGTTGCAAGCAGCAATGCTGCATAGTGAATGCCCACCTGAAAACTGCTTTTGCACGAGTTACATTAGACCCACGTGAAGAGGAGTGCGCTAGATCTAGCTAGCTAAGAGTGGGCGTGGAACATGGCTGCAGCTACTACTTCATTGAGAAATGCAAAGCAAACTTTAAGACAATCACTTCGCAAGACCTTAAAGCAAATGACAGTCCAACAAAGGAAAGAAGGATCATTAATGTTGACAGAAAAGGTAATCATGATGAAAATACAGCTTAAAATAAAAAGAAAAAAGTTATTGTCACACAAAGCGTACCAGGAAGCTAGCAGAATATCAATATACCTCAGTATGCCTGAAGAAGTTGATACTAGCTTAATAATTGAGGTATGGCTATGTCTTTATACTATAACGCTACACATTTTTCGAAACTGCAGGACATCTTCAAACAGAAGAAGTTTGTTACTTTGCTTGTTTATGATCAATCGATTATTGTTTAGGTTGTGTTTTGTTCCACAATTCAATGATGTTCAGATGAACATGTTGCAAGTTCATTCACTTGAAGACATCAAGTCTCTCCCAGTTTACAAGTGGGGAATAAAACAACCAGCTTGTAAGTGAAAGATACCACGAGATGTAATTATAGAAAGAATGATTGTTTCTTTAGTCGATGACAAGAGAGAAGATGCACTGGAAACTGGTGGCCTTGATCTAGTGATTGTTCCTGGACTAGGATTCACTGAAGTCAGTCAGTTAATATTGTAAAAAGACTTATGATTATAATTCTCACAGGATGGTAAAAGGTTAGGCCAGGGAAAGGTAAGGAAGATTAATTTTAAGTATTATAAATATGTACACACACATAGGGTTATTACGATGGATTTCTGGCTCGTTGTTCTGAGAAAGTACCCACTACCATTGGTATATTAATAAAATGTCTTGTATAATTAATGCTTTTTACTGTAGCTCTTGCATATAATGTTCAAAGATGTACTGAAATACCCACTGGACCAAGTGACATAATAATTCAACATGTAATATTCTCCACATGAAGACTTATTTATATTTCTATTATTTCATTCTAATATTGTTCATAAATTTATACATTATACACAATGAATGTAATAATACATTTAATAACAACAACAATTAATAATAATAATAATAATAATACATGTAATTAACCATTTGTGTCCTTAAAAAGATTGATGATTTAAAGAAGATTGCAATGCACTGATAATAATGAAGTACTCTACTGCTGGTGTCTTATCAAAGGAACTCCCAATCACTACATTCACCAATAACAACACCTTCTTCAAGCTCAGCCTTCTCTCTCTTCTTACTCTCACTTGAAACAGACACCACCTTCCCATGCTGCTTCTTCAGCGATCCACGTACATCAATCGTCCATAGCTCTCCATTAGGATTACATGATATCTCTTCAAAATTTCCGGGTAGTTTAGTCCAGTATATCCCAGCGGGATTCTCTTTGGTGATCCCTTGACGGAGGAGTAGGTCACCAGACAGTGTCAGACCAAAGACACGGTCATCACTGACGGCAATACGCTTCAGTGCCTCCCCACTCACCCTCTCCCAAGCCTTGCCAACAGGATAATCAGGAGTCACCCCTTTACGTATGTATGGCACTTTTTCACAGTCAAGTGCCCAGACAAGCCAGTCTTTAGAATTAACAGATACATTAATGAAGTTATAATCAGTGAGGGTATCTTGAACTTCAACCCAAGCTGGTGACATACCAGTGCCAGGCTCTCTCGGATGTATGCCAAATCTGAAATAAACTTTCCCACTTTTATCAACGGCCCAAGCCACGTTGCTACCCATAGAGAGATGGACAATAAAGTCTTCCATCTGTGAGCCGAGTTGTATGAGCTCCCAGGAGAAGCCCTGAGGCGTGGCGTCAGTGATACCTTGACGAGACCATATCATTCCTTTTGTTAGTACCCACACTGCAGCTGGAGACGACGTTAATACTTCAATGACTCCTTGACACTCCACGCGCTCAAAACGATCAGACGACACAATACAATAAAGCTCCCCGTCCTCCCTAACAATCCAAGTACCAACATGACTGGATGTGACCTTTGTCCATATGGTCAGGTCAAACATCTTGTCTTCGCAGGCATTTTCGTAGTGATAGCCGCTGGCATGATTCCAGCACGCATGCAGCTGATTGTTACTGGTTAATAAGCATATGCCTGAGTGAGAGGAAGCTGCTATGCCGGTTAAAACAACCGGAGGTACAGGATGATTGAGTAACGAAGTGACAGAGTGTAGTATGCTGCTTGACCTCTCAAAAGACATCACTTTCCATACAGGTTGATCCGAAGGAGGAGAGACTTTATTTATTGTACTAACGGCTACTTGCCACCAAGGGCCCCCACCCTCGGGCTCATGAGCAGAAGCACCACAACGGAATAAGAGCTTATCTTTATTAGTGATGCCCCATACGACGCCAGAGTCCAGTATGGCAATGCTGTGGAAATGATCAGATCTTATCGACTTCCATCTCTTACCAAAAGGCGATAAAGGGGAAATCCCCTCTCTTACGTAAGGTACACCCAACTGATCGAGACCCCAGACTATATTATTACAGCATGCTATATGCACAAGGGGAGGGCTCTGAGGTATCTCCGCCCACACGGTCCCCTCGGGCTGACTGTCACAGACCCCCTTACGATTGAGGACCTTACCATCAGTCATGATAGCCCAAACCGTCGTATTGTCACATGCTACCAATTTGATGCTTTTGGAGGCCATTGACTTCTTACGATAATTAATCTTTTTCCACTCACTACCGGAGGAGCAGAGGTCACTGATTCCGTATCTTGCATATGCTGTCTGATGGTGAATGCCCCACACTATCTTACCGGAGGCGGAGGTCGAGATGTGGGACATGCTTTTGCGCATGGACTGCCAGTCCCTCCCGCCGGTGGCAGGGTTAGACCAGTAGACGGTACGACGGCTATCAATCAACCATATCGAAGTACAGGATATAGCCAAGCACTGTATGGACTGGTTTGACGGCTGAGGTACAGGACACCAAATATCAGCCGAATGAACTTCAGATATGTCATCAGTGCTTGTAATTGATGTTCGGTTAGGTTGAGGAGACGGTGGACAAAGGGCATCGGCACGGACTCTCGGGCGGAGAGGAGAATGAGAAGGGGCGGAGCTGGCAAGACGGGACTCTCCTGCAAGCTGGTTAATGAGTGCATAATAATCATCAGCTATCATGGAGTCCTCTGATCTAAAGGTTTTATTGATGGCGTCTGCCTCGATATCGTCGTGATCCTCTGAATCACCCAAAGGGTGGATAGGAGTGTCTTCCAAGCTACTGGAATGAGAGGTCCAAAAAGGAGCAGTATGATCAGCAACACTCGCCGGCTCTATCACCTTAATGCCTGGTAGTGAGGGGAAACCTTGTTCCTTTGACGTGGGGGAAGTGGGTATCACGGGATTAGAGATGCTGCTTGACTCCTCCCAGAATAGGACCTCTTCAGCTGTTGTGGGACCGAAGAGAGAGTCATCAGAGTCAATGTTAAAGGCACGGGCACGTTTCCTGATACCTTTTGGAGGAGTGGCTATGAGAGAGTCAGGCTTGACGGGAGATGGCTCCAATAAGACAAAACTATGATCATCAGCACTACCTTCTGCTTCCTTCTCTTTCATTACCTCCTTCTCTTCCATCACCTCTTTCTCTTCCTCTTCTCTGTTTGAATCCTGAATCTCGATTTCTTTCATTTCCTCAATCAGTAACTCTTCATTCTTTGTCTGACTTTCCTCATCAAAGTCTGACTTCACTATCGTAATGTTTGGGACTTGAGTAGGCTCCTCCCACTTTAACTCAGTCTTGACAGATTCATTTGTCTTCCCTTCAAGATTATCCCCTGCCGTTGTGCTTGGCTTTACATCAAGCACGTGTATATCGTGCTCCTCCTCTCTCTCTCTTTCACTCTCTACAAGGTTATTCTTATTGCCTATCTGGTCACTCTCAGTCGATATCAGTGAGGGACAGGAGGTGCTACCCTCGTCTCTTTCGGGTTCAAGTCTCTCGACTGGTCTCTGTGGTATTAGAGGAGATCTGGGCATGGCAGGACTTGTATCTCTAGCATCATCATCATCGTCTAACTGATCCAAATGGTCCATCGATGAATGAGCACCTGAGAAAATTTTAAAATAATGAATAAAAATATTATTATATAAAATACTGCAAACATGTACAAGTCATAAATAAAAAGACTCAATAGACATTAAAGCACAGTATAAACGAAATTTTACTTGATAATGGAGTATGCTGCAAGTGAAGGTGTTTTCTTTTGGTAGTTTTCTTCTTTACTCTACGGGATTTCTTGCGAACAGCTATAGTGTCCTCATCGAGTTCTTGAACTTGTAGCATCTTCGCCCTACGGACTGCTTCTGGCGTACTGAGAGGAACTGATGGGAGCTGAAAGAGAAATAAAAGTATATTAATCATAAAAACACATAAAATCAATTATATTGAATTGAAATATTCGTAAAAAATCTAATTTTGATTAGAATCAGCTTAAACTTGCTACACAGCATAAGAACATGTATACGCATCAGAAAACATTATAAAAATAGAGAATTTTATCCTAGTCATTTTTGGCAAAATTTGGCTAAACACCCTGTACTATAGTACAGGGACTTTGGCCTGGTTTTTGAGTAACTTAAAAAAATTGTAAAAAATCCAATTTTGATCGGAATCAGCTCAAACTTGCTACACAGCATAAGTACATGTACATGTATATGCATCAGAAAACATTATAAAAATGAAGAATTTTCTCCTAGTCATTTTTGGCGAAATTTGGCTAAACACCCTGTACTATAGTACAGGGACTTTGGCCCGGTTTTTAAGTAATTTTAAAAATTTGTAAAAAATCCAATTTTGATCGGAATCAGCTCAAACTTGCTACACAACATAAGGACATGTATATGTATCAGAAAACATTATAAAAATGAAGAATTTTCTCCTAGTCATTTTTGCGAAATTTGGCTAAATACCCTGTACTATAGTACAGGGACTTTGGCCCAGTTTTTGAGTAACTTTTAAAATTTGTAAAAAATCTAATTTTGATCAGAATCAGCTCAAACTTGCTACACAACATAAGAACATGTATATGCATCAGAAAACATTATAAAAATTGAGAATTTTCTCCTAGTCATTTTTGGCGAAATTTGGCTAAATACCCTGTACGGACTTTCGCCCAAATTTTGAGTAACTTTAAAAATTTGTAAAAAATCCAATTTTGATCAGAATCAGCTCAAACTTGCTATACAACATAAGAACATGTATATTTTTGAACTACAGTACATGCCAGGTTTCTTGGTTCTTTCTCTTACTGGCTCATCTCTCTCTTCCTCTTGTCCCTCGATGAGCTCTTTCTTTATTTCAGTCAACTTGTTGAGCGGTTGTGCAAATATTCCTTTAAGTCCAGACCCAACCACAACACCAAGAACTCTCCGTGAGCCCTGCTGCTCCTCTCCTCCTTTCCCTTCTTCCTTATCATCAGTCTGCGAGACAGAAGGATCACCTGATGGCTCTACTGGTACAGTTTGCCCTTTTAGTCCCAAGTTCTCTTGACTAGTTTCAGTAGTAGGAGGTCCTTCAATGGCTTGGTCAGTATTATCCTTCATTATCATATCATCTTCCTTTGTATCAATCTTAGTCTCCTCATTCACTCTCTGATCGTTATCTTCTTCTCTACTTATCCCGTCTCTCTCCCCAGAGACTCCGTCCTCTGCCTTCACTTTCTCTCCATCATCTCTCATCTCTTCTTCTATCACACCTTCTCTTCTCTCGTCTCCCTCCACTGATGATACCGGAAGTGTTTTAATGACGGGGGCCGGAAGAGATAGCTTAACAATCGGGCGCTGGTGACCAATAAGGAGGAGATAGAGATCCTTTCCAGTAGCAACAACATCAATAATCCTTTGTCCAAGAGTCATTACACCTTTTACTAGGAGAGTGAACGGGTCAAGTACCCACACAGTATTCCCATGATAGCAAACAATACAGCCATCAGACCAAGGTATGAGCTTCCCAAATTGTCCGGCGTCGCTAGGCGTGGTCGTGGTTGCTATGTTACCATATAAGGTCATCGGAGGCAACTGAGAATTAAAGACGTCTTTGAATTTAGCAGTTGAGAGGACCTGGAAAGAATGGGAAGAGAGAAAGAAAAGAGTGACAGTAAGATCAATAAAAAAATAATCACTCACTTCTCCATTATCATTAGCTATCCATAGCCTCAGGCCAGGTCGGGCTACTATAGCTGAGCCTTTTACAAAAGTCCCTCCAAAATAGCCAGCCTTCTTCCCCTTTGATCCAACCTACAGTACAACTCATCAGTCAATGTGCTATATGCATGTAGAGTCTTACCTGAGTTGACTGGCCTGTTTTCATATCAAGTAGAACTGGTTTAGCGAGTGTTGAAACAAGAAGGAGATTCTCATTTTGACTCAGTTGTACAACTTCAGATCCATAATCACACAGGGCTGTACTATCAACTGTCAATGTCACCTACAACCAGTCACAAAGAAATAGATAAAAGATAAAGAGGCTGCATTGTAAGCAAAAATTCCTCATAAAAATACACTGGACTAAGCAAAGAGGATATGCTTATTTTCTACTACAAAGAAGTGAGACAGAACAATTCATTGTCTACCTCCTCCTCATTCAATAACAGCTTCCACAAAACCAAACACTGTGAACATATATGGTAGTGAGAAAATACTTTAAAGGTTAAAATGAGATCACAATGTATATATACATAGTGAGGTGACAGTGCACATGCTATAGTAACAATAATGATAAATATACAGCATATCCATTTATTATAGTATAGCAGAGAGAGGGGAAAGTGAGTCAAAAGACTTATAAATAGCATTACATTGCAAACAGTAACATAGCATTTAATGATTATAATAAAAGACAAGGAGTTGGTGGTGATTTATTATATTAATAATTCAAATTAACATTGCCACCTGCTCTGCTAGTGGAGTTGTAGCATATCAGGTCTCAACACACAATACAACTAAATCATTGAGCTCCTACAGATATCATACATGTCATCATCTCTAGTTCATAAAGAGCTAATTAGACCAGCTGCTGTGTATTATGCTTAACCACAGCCAAAACACACCTTGTCAAATTGAACAGAGAACGAGAGGACTTTGCCAGAGTTATAGCCAACAAAGAGGCGATCCTTTTCTTGCGCCCATTCTATTGCAGTCACACTCTTTTGCTCTCTCTCCATCATGAGCTGCTTCATCTGAGACGAGATAAAGAGAGAGAGAGAGAGAGTGATTAATCATCAAAGTGTAAATTAAGAAGCACATATACACCATTGATCGGCAAAGGTATGGTGAGGAGAGGGACTGTCTGAGAGACAGAGAGCACATGTACTTACGGACGGTTTAATAAAATTAATGACAGTCACCATTCCATCATCAGTGGCTGTTGCTATCAGAGAATATTCAGAATGAAACCTCAGTATTTTCAATGGACTTTTACTATCCTGGAGAGAATGAGAGAGATAAATACAATTAAAGAAGCACTTGAATTGTTTTACCGAAAGCTCTTTTATAAGTTTTCTGGTCTGCATGTCAATGATCCAGAAGTGGCCGGCATTACTGCCCACAGCAAGTAAAGAATCAGAGCTCCTCACGTGCAGACAAGTGTGGCTTATCTTCTGGTGCTTGAGGAGGAGCCCGAGACTCTGAGGAAGAAGAGCATTGACGAGTATGAGCTGATCCAATTCCTTTACTTCACTCGACATTTTTTGTTGGGAATTATCGGGGCGTGTCTTAAAATGGGCGTGCCTCCAGTTATAGGCGTGGTGGTTAATTTTTTAGAGGTGTGGCTGAAACTTGCAAAATGCAAACAGAAAAATTACAAGCCCCAAGTCTTGTAAAATATAAAATCACAGCTAACAAAAGCACTGTATCTTTACAGATATATATAATCTGGCTCTAGTTGTTTCACTTTTCTATTCATTTTTAAATAATCTAGATAGTTATTTTTGCTATAGATCTAGAATCTAGGTGTGGCTGTAGGTGGGCTTATTTCTCTATTCAGAGCCTGCATGCTTTTGATTAAAACAAGTGGCCGTTCAGTTGACTTTGCAAATTACGGTGATATTAATACACCCCTTCCTCTTTCCCTGTCTCTTGCTTTATCTCTCTCTCTCCTGTCGGAACAGTCCTAGGATCCTGTTTGTTAGCAGTCAATCATGGCTGGTGTAATGCAAGATGACGCCAAGCTACACAAGTTTTGTCACGATGGAAAAATAGAAAAGATAAAGGTAGACTGGCCTCACCTTGTTTCTTTCCTCTGCACGACCCTTCTCCTTATGTACATGACATCATTGAATCCCTTTTTCTTTCTTGTAGGATTTCGTTGCTACTGTTGAACCTGAGATCCTTCTTGATAGACTCAACAATAGAAGAGGTGTTTTTGGCTACACCCCTCTTCACGAAGCTGTCTCCGGGAATAGATCCAAAGTCATTCCGTATCTCGTTGAACAGGGTGCTAACGTTAACGCCAGGGCTAATTCTGGCTACACTCCGCTTCACCTTGCAGCCAGTGCTGGTCATATTGAGTGCGTCAAAGTATTGTTGGACAGTGCTGCTGATATCAGCCTCACTGATGACTATGGGAAAACCCCAAAACAAACAGCCGGCCTGAGTTCAAAGTCGAATATAGTCCGACTTTTAAGGAGCGAAGGTCAGTTTGAGGAACAAAGCTAATTTATGAGTGATTTGTAGCTTTATTAAAAGGTGTCTATGTGCTACATGTACACATGTTTCCTTTAATCAGCAGCTAATGGCATTAAAACTCACTGCTAACATGTGTTAGCTCTGTATTAGGTTAGCAGCTGCAGCACACATCATTTCAAATTTAAATCTGAACTCTATAAAATGTACGCATACATATATGTATAAGGACTTTGTTCTTAAGGGAGGATATTTGATTAGTCAAGTGTCCTATCTTCTCATACCTTTGCTGGATTATGTCCCACGACATTAAGTCTCCCTCACGTTAGGTTTATTCCCTCCATACATTGTTTTGCTTTCAGTGATTCATTATACTGGTTCAATGTTATTTATTACTCAGTCTTAAATGTTTAGATAAAATCGTAATATATAGGGAAAAGACTTTCAGTTGCAAGTTATGCCTGTTTTGCCCTTATATGGAAATAAAATAACGTGGAATGATCACTAGTTTAGATTGTATGAAGTTTTGTCCCTCCCTCTCCCCTATCTGTCCTTGCCCCAAAATCCATTGATACATGTACATACAATATGATCTTATCTAAAATTTATTTTTAACTTGTAGAGATCATTAAAGAAGTGAAGACAAATGGTGATAACCTCACTGAGTTACTTCGAGTCAGAATAGATGATCTGGAGCCTAACTGCCTTGAGGATGCACTCACAGCTGCTGTTGAAGTTGGGAACCATTTCAACGTTGGGAAACTTGTCGTGAAAGGTGCCACAAACATCCAACAAGCTCTGGACGATTCTAAGGAAAAACAGAAGCATGAGGCAAGGGCCATGCTCTTACTGGTTATTGCTGCACAGACAAATGACAGAGACTTGGTCCTTAAACTGTTTGGTGCACCAACACAGAAAAACTTGTCACATGTAAGTGAGGAAGAGAGAGAAGGAGAGTATGTGTGTTAGAAGCCAAATTGTTTGATTAAATTATGTAAAACTATATGTATCATTAAACAACTTCACAATTAAAAATTCAAACAAATATGCCTAATTTAATGCATGTACACACCAACAAAGGAAACACGACACTAAGTTCACTAATAGCTATAAAGGCAGTTCCTATTAAGATAAGCAGCTATCATGTTATAATCCATCTTTATAGACTGCACAAAGAGATGCTCGCACATTTCTGCCATCAATATTGACATTTAGTAAATCATGCACAATGTACATGTGTAGGAGTAGCACTAACAGTTACCATTGCTATGATAACATTGGAACCTTCTTCTACAATTTGCATGTATATACATGTATATACATTGTATATATATATGGAGTTATTGCATAGTCATTGTTTAGCAAAAGGGTCTTGTAAAATTTGTAAACAGCTTTTACGTTTTGCATATAGGGATTAACTTATTGTTATCTTATAGTTTGTTACAAAAGCAGTTATGAGCGTACATTTCAGTCTAAATATACATGTAGATTATTTAAGCACTAAAATGACAACCTAACCTTAGACATTAGGCTATAATTGCACACACACATAATAAGTTTTACGGCCAATTTTTATTTTTAGCCACTGGCCAATGATGATAATTTCTCTGAAGTCCAGAAAGCCGTCATAAGTGGGCGTGTCTCTACTGTTGTCCCAATAGAGATAGCAAGACGCCATCAGAACCCAATTGTACGAGAGGAGCTTCTCCTGAGGACTGATGTGAACCAGGAAGAGGGTTCTGTCTATTGGCACGGCCTCCGTCTACTTGTACTTGATCTCTCTTGGATCCGAAAGATACACTGGGTGAAGAGACTCAGACTGGCTAGGAATGGATTTCGAGCCATCCCAAACGAAATCGGAGGCTACTTGAAACAAGTAAGAGACAGTAAAGCATGTACTTGTAGTCTTGTACTTTTGATGTATCAAAAAATTATTGAAGTGAAGAATTTTCTCCTAGTCATTTTGTGGTGAAATACGTGTATGACCAAGAAACCCTGTACTATAGTACAGGGACTTGGCCCTATTTTTGAGTAACTTTACATTCTTTCTTTCTCTCCTTTCCAGGTGGTGAAACTAGACCTCCAGCACAACGAGTTGGTTACTGTCCCACGCTGTCTCTTTGAGTTACCCAGTCTTAATGAGCTCAATCTAAGCAATAACAAGCTAATTGAAATACCTGATGTACACGAGTGGTCCCCTGGTCTCACTGTCCTGGACCTCTCCTCTAACGAGCTCTCTAGTCTACCAGCTGACGTTGTTGCTCCTTCCATTAGGACTCTCAACATTAGTTATAATCGCTTCCGTACTGTCCCTCTCTCTGTCTGCTCCTTTATGAGTCTCCAGCACTTGAACATCAGTTTCAATCCAGATATACTCTCCCTCCCGGTGGAGATGGGTCGATTGCAGAATCTCATTAAGCTTGTTACCGACGGACTCAAGGACTTGAGTGATCCTCCTCGTAACATGCAGCGTGATGCCAGGGACTGTGTACGATACCTCAACAGTAAGCTACGCTCCGCTCGTCGGTTCTATCGAATGAAACTGATGCTGGTAGGGAAACAGAACCGCGGTAAGACAACACTGGTCGCCCGTTTACAAGGACTTGATGTCGGTATCAACCAGTCGACTGTTGGGGTTGATGTGAGTGAGTGGCATTACGCTGGGGGACTGGGACGTAGGAAGTACCAGTTCAGTATTTGGGATTTTGGTGGTCAGGAGGAGTACTACGCAACACATCAGTGCTTCCTTTCAGAGCGATCCATGTATCTGTTGCTGTGGAACGTACAGCATGGGGAGGAAGGTATTCAAGAGTTGAAACCTTGGCTTGATAATATTGCACTGAGAGCTCCTCGCTCTTGTGTCCTTATCGTCGGTACTCACCTTGATTCTGTTGAAGAAAGTGATCGTCCTGAAGTGGACAAGCTCCTGGGGAAAGTTGCTGAGCTAGCACAGACCTATCACA